ACCACACACACACACACACACACAAAAGAAAAAGAGTAAAAATTCAAGAACAAAAACGGTATTTGAAAATGTTACATCATCAAGGATGAGAGTTGGAATAGTACAATAAGCCCCTCTTCTCTAGTATGGTACAGGGCTCTTGAAACGGTTCAAATAACCCACTAGGCTTCTAAACATACATAGCGTAAGTTTGTATGATTCTTGATTTTCAATATCTTGCAATCTATATCTCGCCTTGTTTTTCCACCGACCTTCAATGACCTATCTTTCGTTGAATACTCTTTCTGTGACCTTTAGACCTTGATTAACCTTCGCTGACCTTTACTCCTTGATTTACACAATACCACTGAAGTCGCACTCACAAAGAACTGAAACGAGAATTTGGTAGTATCGGAAGCAAAATTTCACAAACAGACATGCGGTACCGGTTCATAAAAACTGGCGCGAAATCACAAGGTCGGTAAAGGTGACTTCCGGTCATGTGAACAAATACCGTGATCCTCATTTATGATGTCATAATAGGCGGGCGATTCGCCCGATCGGCCCAGGAGTTATTCATTGCACTTGAAAATTCAGTATAGAATACATTCAGACACCTTCAACGGACAAACTGATGAAGATTGAAATTTTCTAACCATGTCTAAGGTTCAAGATTTGAACCTGACTTTTTCGGGTTGCGGATTTTTGGGAATCTACCACATTGGAGTAATGTCTTGTCTAAAACAAAACGCGACCAGCCTTTTGGGTCGGGTGAAATGTTTTGGAGGAGCAAGTGCAGGTGCTTTTGCAGCTGTCGGTTTAGTGATGAACTTGGATGTCTCTGACATTGTAGAATCGGTACTAAGACTCGGGAAAAGAGCAAATTCTCTTTCACTAGGACCTTTCCATCCGAGTTTTCAGATCGTCAAAACTGTCCGGAAAGCGTTTGACCAAATGTTGCCTGACAACGCACACGAGATAGCGACTGGACGATTGCACATTTCACTAAGTCAAGTCACTCTCACTGGCTTTAAAAATGTCATCATTTCTGAATTTTACTCAAAAGAGGATCTAATTGAGGTAAGCTAAGATTAAAAGCTATATTGATGCTTGATGAACGAAGTATGTTCAATAGATTAAAAGAAAAAAAAGATCGCAGTGCACGATTTCGTTTGTTTTAGTTTAAATGTGCTAAATAACTCGTGTAACGTTCACCATGTGTATGTTTTGTTAATTGTTAGTTTGCTTTATTTTATCAGCTGAATAAAGATCGATCGTGCTATCAATCAATTTTCAAGTCGATATTTTTCTGTCGATCTGAAAGGTGTTGAGGTCGAGAGTATTGAAGTTCAGAGCTGTTGACACTTTTATACACGAAATTGTAAAGTCTCCATACCTAATCTCTTCTTTTGATTGTCTTTTTTTAATGATTATTCATATTATTCATGAACGGAGTTATGTACCCCCACTCCAATTAAGCGACAACAAAAGTAAAAAACAGGTGACAATATCCTTGTTTTAAAATGCTCGTCGAGTCCAAACGTTTATAGTTGTCCGGAGTGAGATTTAGGCAGGGGGGAAGGGTAGGGGAAGAGCAGGGGAGTGGCAAGACGTTTTGTTTACCTCGGAATAGATGCCCAAACCATTATCGTTTTTTTCCTAACGAAATAATGACATTGTAGAATTTGATGTCTCCTTTTTTGTTTTAAACTCTAAGAGTGACTAGCTAGCATCTAATTTCTCCTTACAATATCACCCCTAAATAACATTAAGATAACAAGAATAAAGAAAATGATCACCAGCTAGACAAGCTCTTGACTGGTAATCCTCCTTATTAAAACCATAGGAAATGAATGGAGAAAAGTATGAAGAATATGCTTTGTGATGTCAGGGTGTATAGGGTTAAGGATACAAAGATAACACTTATTTCGAGTCATTTTCAGAAGAACAACTCATTTTTTATTTAAAAAATTTAAATTAAATTACACAGTAATATTGAGTTTTATATTTGATTTTGTAAATATTACAGGCTCTTGTAGCCAGTTCCTATGTGCCAGTATTTTCTGGAATGTTTCCAGCTGTATATAGAGGGAAGGTATGTAACTGTGACTAACATACATAAAAAATTATGTTAAATATCAGTTAGGTGATTAGTCACCTCTACATATGTTGTACAAGATTGTCACACAATACAAATCCTCTTTAAAATGTGAGACAAACCCAAAAACTGCTCTGTAAGGGACCATAGAGGAATATATTCTCTGGAGTGAAAATTACTTGAATTTTTACAACTGACCAATTGCTAGATAATATAAATTTTATTTCTCTCAAATGTATGGTATACATGCATTATTTTCATTTAATTTCAAACACTAGAAATGAGTAGGTATCACTAGAAAATAGAATTTACTCTTCTATTTACAGTACTATGTGGATGGAGGAATTTCTGATAATCTTCCACAACACTTCAAAGAAGGAGAAACTATCACAGTGTCCCCATTTAGTGGTGAACATGACATTTGTCCCAAAGATGTTTCATCAAATGAATTTCACATAGAATTACGAAATACAAGCATGCAGTTTACTGGAAGTAACATTTGGAGATTGTCCCATGCACTGTGGCCTCCAAGTCAAGAGGTTTTGATTGATATCTGCAGGCAAGGTTATAGGGATACGTTAAGGTTTCTCACAGAGCATTGTAAGTTTCAATCAGTTGATATGTTTTCACATACTTCTGTTGGTTACCATTATGACAGTAATTCAATTAAGCACCCAACCATGAGTAAGTCCCCACCCTGTAGTTAGGAAAAGTAAGTAAGCACCCAGTCTTAAATAAGGGCCTTTCTAGTAGAAAAAGGACACTTCTGGTGTACCTGGCATGTTCAAGTAAACCATTTCAAAAGCCTGGGAAAATGTTGACGAGTGGTCGATAAACCCTGTTGCAGTGGATTTTTCCTCCCTAAGTTCTAAGTTATGTTCACTCTGTATATATGCAACTCATGTATGAACACAGACAACCATTTTTAATCATAGATTGAAATGACTGTAATTTGCAATTAATTTTATTTTCCAGACCCTGATACACTAATGCTTGAGTCACTAACAACAGCTTCTATGGTGTTTGATATTCTGCCATTACACAGCAGTTCTCCATCTTATTGTCAAGGATCAAGCATTATTCAGGGAGCAAGCCAGAGTTCTGATTTATCATTTAATGACAACAATTTATCCTGTGATTATAAGGAGACTGGCTTGTGTCTTGCTCCAGGAAGCCATTGGGCTGAAACTGAATTGGAGGAAGGAGAATCAAAATTATCCATGAGTAAGTGAGTCTTTTTATGTAATAATGCCCTTTTATCTGGGTATGAGTATCTATTGCTGCTGAATCATAATTGCTAATGTTTTCTCAACTCTCAGTACTTTTGGATGCCAATAAAAGTGCAACAGAAGCTGAGCTTTGGTCATGCTACTTTTTGCGCAAGTCATGTCACATCTTGGATCTTCTTGCCAGACCGTGCATCATAACTTTCAAGCAAATCTTGGTAATGCTCAAAATGTGAGTATGAATTGCAATTGATTTTATAAATTTAATTGTTTATTAAATTGTAGTTGTACATGAAAATAATACCATTTTGTTTCAATGTTTAGCATAGGAGGACATTACTTTAATTTTAGTTAACTCAATTAGTTTATATAATTATTATAAGAAAAAGTTCACAATTTAGTTTTGGTTTTTGATTTGTTGCTTGATTTTCCAGAATTTTGCAAGCTTTGATTAAGATTGAAAAAACAGGGTGCAAGTACTTTGATAACATGCTATCAGTTGTTTCCACAATGCTGCAGACATATGAGGACAAACATCAGGTTACAATACACTGGTATGACTTATTTCACTCTTTCAAAAATTCAAATTTTGTCTATCTGTTATACCCCTCTCACAGAGATATTTTTTTAGAGGTTCACCGACCCCTTTCCTGGAAATTCCACCTATGCTTTATATCTTTCTTTATAAAGGTCTCATTTGGATTTTGAATTGATTGTCATTGAGAGCTGTGAACAACCTAGCTTTAGCAGTTAGGCTTCATTGTCTTAAACCCTCTAACTCTCAGAGGTTATAAACATGTCACTTCTTTCTATGATATCCATACATTATCCACTAAAAGGTAATGAGAATACTCACACTAATCTGGTAGAAGTTTCTATCTTGATCTCTTACCAAATTCTCATAGCTAATCTGAGTTCTATTTGTTGCCATTATTTTTAGGAAATCTAAATCTTTTATGAACTTGACAGAAGAATCAACAGATGGTAAGATACATTTCTTGAATCATTGTTATTCTTTTTTCCAGATAAATATTAGAGTAGAATAAAATAAATGTTCAACTTGATCCTTTAACTCCATTTATTCTATCTCACTTGGTACAATCTGACTGAAAATAATAATCTGACTAGACGATCTGATTTAGTTTGGTATTAATCATAAGATCTGATTCAATAACAAACTAGACCTCATGGTCCATACCATAATATGCAAACTAAACCCAGTGCCATGTGGGTAGGGCAGAAGCTAAACATGACGTATAGCAATCAACAGTTAGTTGTTGAAAAACTACAGCAGGATGCCATGAGCTATTACTAAAAATATTAATATTTCTTTTTCATTTCTTCTCATTACCATCAAATCTTGATGATCCAGACTCAAGGAAACTGGACTTAATAGTCTGGATACTCAAGAGTCTGCATAATCAAAAAATATAATATTAACAAGCCAAAAATAAAACTAAATTAATTTTTCCAAAATTCCTTACAAAAAGTTATTAAAGCTTATGTTTGTTTCAAGTGGCAACAGTGTGTGCACATAGCTTTCACTGAAAAGCATTCAACAGCTTTCGGAAAGCCAGAGTTCCAACAGGAATTCCATTACATTAATCATGTGCCTTGTTTGATGGGAAAAAGTTGTTATGATAGTCAAATGTGAATAATTAATGTTCACAAAAATTTGGGAGCAGAGGAGTAAGTCCAGGTAATCTAAAAAACAGGATAATTTAGGTCTATGGCAGATAATCAAGGTTTTACTGTACTTTTATATTTTTAACAGTTGGAGAATCATCCCTTATTTTGTATGACCAGACACAAAAAGTTATCTCTGATGCCATGGAAGGACTTAGTACTGTTTACCAGAATGAACCAAGTATCTTGGTTAATGAATTCCAAGAAGGTTTTGATGAGAACATGGATGCAACAGAACATCCTGTTGACAATAGTTAGACAAGCAAAAAACCAAGAGACAAGGATGATGATAGGGGAACACCTCTTTCTCTGTAATTAATGATGAAAGAAGCTCCCATATTGAGAGCAATGATGAGTATGTGATTCTTACCAGCTGAATGGACAAAAATTTTTGTCAACAATTTCTTATTTTTAATAGGTGACAAAAGCACCAACAGCAGAGTATGTAATTTATGAACAATGAGACCAAGAATTATTTTGATTATCCTTTTGCATCAAGACAAAAATATTCATTCAGTATTTAAAATGACTTCTGCTTTTATTTGTTCAGAAATATCAAATCTTTTGGAAGGAAGTATCCTCTTAAGTTACTTTGACTTATACCTGATAATTTAGCAAGACAATGTGACTTGTGTTTTGTGTGTTCATTAATTAAAATAATTCTTCTATAAAGCCAGGTTAATGGTTATTATAAACTGTAAAGAAATCAAAATAAAGACAATACATATTATCTGAAATGGCTATTGTATATATAGGAAGGTAAATCATATTTATAAAGAAATTGTGGCAATCAGTACTATTTCACAAAATGTTGTCTTTGTTCGGGCTGATTTACTGAAGGGAGAGCATTTATATCGCTGTTAGAATAAAGTGGATGGATAACAGTACTGTAATAATGTGAATAAAATTGTTGCGACTTTCCTTTCAACTGAGTGATGTGATGATTTGTAAGAGATCAGTTATACAATGTTTATCACAGTTTTCTCAGCAGTAAAAGTATCTTGACAATTGTATGGTTAAGGGAGGGGGTTGGGCAGGTTGATGTGCATGTGATTCCTCTTTGCTGTGAAAACTAAAAAATGTTTGTGATTAAAACATCCTATATGAGTTACTGACCAAGCATGAGGTCAAGATGGACCAAGAACAAGTCCAGGTCCATGAAATTGCAAAAAAAGAACAAAATATCCAGCCATCCAATGCAACTCGATCATAGTCATTGTCAAAAAACTGAACTTTGTTAAGTCATGCCACTCAATCTTTTTCTTGCACAAGATAAAAACAGCCAAACTCTAGTGGGCAAGACTTTTTACTTTGCCCACTCAGATAACAAAGGATTTGCTTCATATTGCCCATGCGTGTCGCTGCCTGTATTATAAAGAATTATCACCTCTAATAAGAGTTTGGTATGGGCACTCATAAAGTGGTCCAGCCAGCACTTAGTAAACCTAGCCATCTATAGCCGTACTTAGGAATACCCTGCCATCCTTAAGGACTGTGCTTAGAAATGACTACCTGTCTGGACCATATATATGTTCCTTCACCAAGTAGTTTAACCCCTCCCGGTTTCCATCAGTAAGTTATTGTGGCAATCAAAAATTAATGGTGTTTGTAGACCTCTTTTAACCACTGTTACACTTAAAACCAATCATAATAACCCTGAATAACCTCGTTTCGAGAAAAAAATTTCGTTTCGAGAAAAAACCACCAAGTACCCTGCCATTTATTTGGAGATGATCATGCAAAGGCCATCCAGTGTATCTAAGCTAATTCTTCTAAGATCACCGAGAGGAGGCAGGTTATGATACACATAACATTGTAGCAGTGGACGATTCTAGAAAGCATACAGCATGTACTTACAGGGTTTTGTCACAGCCTTCGCCACCCTCTTCGCATAAGTAACCCTGAAACTGCAACAGTCATCAAGAGTGGTGGACTCTTTGATCTTCGCGTCTTGTTTGCACTGCATTCATCGTTTTCTGAAACCAAAGCTACTTCATTATTCACAGAGTATGCTGATAAAAAAAAATTACAGATCTATCATGCACAGGCAACATACTCAACATACTTTAGTATTGTAGTTTGCCGCTTTTCTGAAGAAGGTGTGAATTAACCCTTCCACTGCTGCGGACGGGGAGTAAAAAAATAAATAAGTAATTCCTTACCAGGGTAGCGAGGGGTGAATGTGTCACTTTGGAGGAAATCATAATTTCTCACAAATAATTTCGGTTTAGGTCTCTTTGCTGCGGAATATTTAACATTTTGAGCAAAATAAGAATCAGTGGAATTTTATTTCACGAATTTTCGAAGAAGAGTGCCTCTCAGTCCCGTGGGGAGTAGGGTTAGGTTGGCCGTAATTTAAAAAGTGTTCAGCGGCAATTTAGTTCAGTAATGTTCCCGCCATTTTCGATATATACATTGGTTGAAATATTTGGTATCGAAAAGGTCATTGTGGTTGTGCAAGATTTCCCTTTTAGCTAGGTTCAAACGATATGGATAACGCTCATAAACGCAAAGGAAGCGAGGAGGTTGGTAGCTCTGCAAAACGATCCCGCCATGATGGGGGAAACCCGCGAACCTTCGAAGAAGAGTTAGCTTTGCTCGGTGAAGTAGCTGACAAACATCCAGCTCACAAGTGGTCCAGACCAGCCGCGCCAAAGTTAAATCCAACCACTGAAAGCCTCATATTTCAGCAGTTGGAGGTTGACAATTACATCGGTTTGTACCTTAAAGTGTTGGAATAAGGACAGTTTTTTTTCCATTCTAAAAATTGGAGCTTTTTTGACAGAACAGAAAGGATTGTACAAGCTTACATTAGCTGATATACGTAGATGCATGGGGTTTGATTGTTAAAACTATCTGAGATATGTGACCGAGGCAGGTTCTGATGTTATTATTTGAACAACGAGACAGACTTATAGCCACAATAAAATTTATTTATACAGGAAAGTACAAAAGAAATACTGATAAAGAGAAAGGGTGATTGCAAGCTAAAAGAAATAATAAATGACAAATAACAATTCAATGATTTAAAATAATGAAATAAAACAATTAGTAAAAATTACAATCGATTGTAATACAATAGCAAGGCACTAACAAGACAATTGTAAAGCATTGCATGACAGAACAGTAATCATTGTGTGACACTTAAAAGACTTAATCCAATTAACCAAACATAGAACTATTGAATGGCAGGCTCTTAGAATTATACATGAAATGACTGAAAACAAGTCAATACTGATAAAACAATAGCTCAAAACAACATAACATTAGATAAGACTAATTTCAATCACAATTTCATATTGTCCTTCGACTTAAAACTAGGAAGACTGGCAAAATCTCATTCAGTGACAGGACAACATCTGTCATTACTGATGAACTAAACAATGAAGACTGTAGTGAAATATCTGATTTCACCAATGAACTTTAAGTCAAGTATACAGATAAATGCAAGGTTCTGAAAGCTGAATGCAATCTTGACACATTTTGAACATGAATCAACTAATATAAGGACTCAAGCAAAGACTAAACAATTGGATTGAGATAAGTACACATGAAGCATATTATTCTTGAACTCAAACTGTAAGACATGCAATAATAGGTCAAATGTGACATACCAAATCCTCAGTAGAATAGGTCACTACCTTGAGGTTACATGTACTGGAGTTACTTTTTCTGTGACCAAGAGGTTCTGAGCTAGTAAGTGCTGGTCTGGACACTCTGAACTACTGAGTTAAACTAACTAACTGTACTTCTTTTATAAGGAATCGAGCAATAGCAGGAAATTCTCTAGAATTTTGGAAGTTAGGTGTGATCATTCTAAAGGAAATTTATGATGCAAATCCTGTGTGTATGATAATTTGGTTATCATAGGAAATAGTTTCTGAAGATGTAATTCTAAAATTCTAACAAAAAATATTGCAATGTCATGCACAATTGTTAGCCTGCTCACATGTAGACTATATAAAGTTTTAAACTATTATAAAAATGACTTTTCCAAACTCGGTGAAGAGAAATTTATCAATGACTTAATTTTCACGTCTAGATCTGGAATAACATCTCAAGTGATCGTTATAGATGCCAACACTAGATTCAATATTTTGCTATGATCAGATATCTCA